ATTCGGTGCATGGAAAGTGGCAGGCACCAGTCTCCTCTATCAGAAGCCCCTAGCCCCACTACCCTGCCGCAGGGCAGAAGCCTTGAGCTCCCCCCCAGTCTGGTAGGTGGAGAATGGTGGTGGTGGGGGGGTGAACAGGGAGCTCCAGGAGCCGCACTGTAACTGTAGAAGAGCCCTATGAGGTTTAGTCACCCCGGATAGCGCTTGCACATTTTCTTGTATCTGTTTTGCTTCCCCGTCGGCAGCCCTGCCGGTACGGCCCCTTTTACATCCCTGCCCCCTTTGCCTACCCCTGCACCCAGCTGCCAACGGCGGTGAGGGGAAAAGGGAGCAGCTGCCCTGGTCCCGGCTGTTTAAAACAGGGCCGGCTCCAGGCACCAGCACTCTCTCACTGCCTGCCCCACGATTACCATTCTCTCCCTTTCACCTATATAGCTTTTTGTCACTTCACGCTAGAGGAAATAGTAACAGACTCCTAAAAACACAAAACATAGCCCCAGGAAAGGAAGGCATTTTGTACAATGACTCCTGGGAAAAAAAAACAGATCCTGGTTGCCTGGTGCTAACTGCTGTGGCAAAGGTACCACTCAACAAGGCAGACAGCTCCATAAGGCAGCTGGCAAAGAAGAGGATGTACCTCCCCGGCGGGCCAGTAACGAGCTGGTGTACATCTCGCATAGGCAGGGAGGCAGCAACATCCCTCGAAGGGGGTGATCTGTCTGACGCTGCGGCGATCCACTTGCGCCTTCCATCTTTCGATGTGCCTGGATGCTACGGTGAGGAACTTTGGGGCGAGTGCTGTGCGTGACATCAGGAAGCGAATCGCCGTGGCCCCTTCCTGCCAAGATGTCGCGAGGTACCCAGGGGAGCCGTATTCGGAAGAGACGACAGCATCCTCACTCTGAGAGCGAGAACTGCTGGAGAGGACCCTGGAGGATACCATCCATGGGCAGTACATGGAAAACCTGAGATGGAAGATGATGTTTTTCATCAAAGCAGAGTAGTAACTTTGGGGAACCAAGTTGCTTCTATTTGGAATAGCGTCTCCGTGGGGGAGTTACGCTGGAATAGGCACTATGCTTAGAGCTATGATGCCAGTCAGACGAGCCCCTTGACTGCACGTCCTGTGGCTCCCAACAGCCTGCTCTGCTCGGTCTGCAGAGCAGGACTTCAGTTTCCTCTCTCTAGGGTTGGCTGTGGAGCTGTGGTGCCACCTGCTGGTTCCGATTTCAAAGCTTGGTGGAAAAAATAAATAACTGCAAGGGCAGGAGAAGCAACTCTCTCGCTGAGTGCCTGACAGGGGTAAATCGATCCCCACAAAAACAGAGTTTAATAGCCGAGTAATGAGCAGCACTTTAGAATTAGAATTTACGGTAGGTTTTTTGGGGGGTGCGGGGGCAACAGGATGGGGACCTCTGGGAGCAGAAGGACACCTCGTGCCTTCACATGATCTCACAAATTAAGATCCATGGAACATATGCTGGGTGGGAAGAAGAATATAACCAAGTCCATCTAATTCACACTGTTATTGAATACAAGTATCATCACTTCATCACATGCCTGGAGTGAAAAAGACAGCACATGAAAAGATGGGGTTGCCTTACCGAGTTGGGGGTCAGTGCTAATGTATCAACAGAGGGAAAATTACTTTTTGGAGTGACCCAGCCACTCCCAGTCATAGAGACAGAATATCAGGGTCGGAAGGGACCTCAGGAGGTCATCTAGTCCAATCCCCTGCTCAAAGCAGGACTAATCCCCAGACAGTTTTTTGCCCTAGATCCCTAAATGGCCCCCTCAAGGGTTGAACTCACAACCCTGGGTTTAGCAGGCCAGTGCTCAAACCACTGAGCTATCCCTCCATCCCCCCCTTTATTCAGGCCTAATGTTATGGTGTCAAGTTTGCAAATTAATTCCAGTTCTGCAGTTTCTCAATGAAGTCTGTTTGTGAAGGGTTTGTTGGTTGAAGAATGGCCACTTTGAAGTCTGTTTGAGTGTCCAGGGAGATTGAAGTTCTCTCCTACTGGTTTTTGAATATTACAATTCTTGATGTCTGATTTGTGTCCATTTATTCCTTTGCGTAGAGACTGTCCGGTTTGGCCAGTGTACATGGCAGAGGGGCATTGAAATCAAGTTTACACAAGTTAAGAAGGAAAGTACTAGACATCTGGGGTCAGGTGGAGGTGCCCTGTTTCCTC